AAAAAAAAAAAAGAAGAGAGGAACTTGGAAAAAATATTTTTTTTAAAAAGGAGAGAAAAAAAAAAAAAAAAAAGAAGAGAGGAACTTGGAAAAAATATTTTTTTTAAAAAGGGGGGAAAAAAAAAAAAAAAAAAAAAAAACCAGTGCAAGAAAAAAAGCTGGTATTTTATAAGATTTAATGAGATCAAAACCTTGTTTTTCAGTGTTTTGTAGTTTTTTTTTTGTTTTTTTTTTGTTAAAATGACTTACCAGTGCTGGTGCTGTATGTGCGAACAGAGGAGTCGGTTGGAGGTGGAGAGCAGCCTGAGTCTATGGAAGCGGTGTCGTCGTCTTGGGAACAGCCAGCCTGGATAGCTCTCAGGTAGCTGTGGCTGCGGGATCGGAAGCATGTCGGCATGGGCATGTCCGGAGGCTCCGAGATGTCCTGACAATGGGAATCTCTGAAGGCGGACTCTGAGCTTCTGTCTTCGTAATGATGACTTTTTTCCAGGTCTCGCAGCTGGATGAAGACATTACAAAGGCATGGGACTATTTAACCCCACAAATATGTTTTTTTTTTTTTTTTTTTTTGATTTTGTTTCCCAACAAGAAACTCTAGATGCAATTTAAAAAAAAAAAAAAAAGAACATTTTAAAGTAAAAGAAATGACTGTCTATTTTTAATCTGCAATGTGGAAAAACTGTCAGTGTTTGGCGAGGATAGTTTGAAATTTCAGCAAGCCATCTTTACAGACGTCTCTTTGCTGACATAAATGAGACAAAGTAATGGCATTCTAATGACTCACTGACTGCAAATGGAAGAATATGTGGAGTAAATACGAGCGAGTCGGCACCAGAGAGGCAAAAACGAAGCCGAGAATGTAGCGGTTGTGCCCAGCCCTATCGAATGCAAACCAGAAAAAAGGTTTTCAGCAGTCATTTATTTTATTATTGTTATGTAATCCTTGTTTAAAAAGAGTGAATGTTAGACAACCCTGACAGGAAGCGCTTGCTTTTTGGCCTGCTGGCTGCTTATGCACACTAACTAAATGCGATACGTCTCTTCACAGGAAACTGCTGTAAGAACTCAGAGGCAAAAATTCGGTCATTAGAAAAAGACTCCACGGCCGATCTTCATCTTGGTGACCTTGTCATCGCCAAGCTAATGGCCCCTCTGTTAGTGGACAAATTAGACCTCTAACTATCACTGTCACCTCATTTGTCTTTTGGGGTAATAACATTAATACAAGACAGCTGGAAATGTTCTCTGGAATCTCATTATATCAGTCTTTGCAATGGAAACAGTGAAAATACACAAAGCGGGGTTTTGTGCGATAAGATGGTCACAAACTACTGCATGACTATGAAGAGTAAAGACAAAGCACGCTGATGTATGCAATTGTATCCAGCCCCTTTTACTGTGACACCCCTACATAAAATCAGGTAAATAATTAGTAAACTGTATTCACCTGTGTGCTATTTAATTTTGGAATACACACAGCTCTACTTTGAACGCCTCATTTGACAGACAAAAATTTAGTTTTTTTTTTTTTTTTAAAGAAAATTGCAGATTACCCAAACATTTCAAAAAACACATCAAGGTTTGTGGTTGTCTAGCGTCAAAATGTGAAAATGTTAAATAACTGAGTTATTTTGCCAGAGTGACAGTGTGTATAAGATACATGACATAATGAAGTAAAAAGAAAAAAAAGTTATTTTGTATCCCTAAACAATTTCTTTTTTTCCTGGTTTTTGTAAATAATACATGAAGCATTCCTAACCTGTCCTATGCCACTACGTCTGCTCAAAGTGCTGCAGGCCTGGCTGAAGCTGTCTTCTTCCCATGGTGCCAAAGCTCCTGGTCCTCCAAAACAGTCCAGATTATCCAGGCTGCGATTATTTGAGAGTTCTCTGAGAGATGGAAGACAGCTGGGAAAAGAAGAGTGAAATCAGATTAAAAAACAAAAACAAAAAACACAGAACAAATTGTTAGGAATCTGAATACGAGGAAGTAAAAGAGATGTGGACAAAAAGCTTATGTTTTCAGATCATGACCTGAAAGGCAGCAGGAGAACATTGATGATTGATCACCCAACCAGGAATTGAAAAAGAGATAAAAAGTCGAGATGTATTTTACTCAAGGCGCTTCTTTCATTTCCTCCTTGATTGTCTCACAAACCTTAAAATAGTCTCTATTTCAATATCAATCGTCTTGAGTCACCCAGTACATAATTTGAGCATGCAAGTGCAGTCAGAGAAAGAATGTGCACAATGCAGCAAGATGAAAGTAATCAAAAATGTTTAATAATGTCTATAGACTTATTTTTTTGTCTAATTTGAGATAATGGAATAGCTGTGAAGCTTCATGGTACGACGTAAGAAGACAAACGATGCTTACCGCTTTTATTTTAAAACACAAATGACGCTACTTTTAATCCAAAAGCAGATGGTGGCAACAAGCTAACAATAAGCTAGCAGTTGTTTGAAGCAGGAGATGACTTTTGCAGTTGGAGTTTTAACTCTAAAAACTTTCCCGAGGGGGGGCGGGGGGGCAGCGCAAAGTCACTGATCACAAATAATCAATTGCAAGTGTTTTGCACTGCAACCCTGAGGAAAGGCTTACAGGCCTACCACTGACCTGCTCATTGACCTGCCCAGCTGGTGCAGAGAGGACACACTGTGGAGTGGAGACCACAGGGCATCCAGCTCCCCCTGCAACAATGTGAAATCCAAGGTTCTGCTGCTAGCACCAATCGGGTAGGTGGAGAACGAAAGAGAGCAGGATTGGATGATCAGACATGGATTGTTGCATCAGGATCAGTCATTCAAGGGATGTATTTTATGAGTTTACGATAGAGAGTGTTGTGTTTGAAGAGCCAACACCTTAGTTTCTTCAAGTGTTACAGCTCGGTTTGTGTGTTGTGTGAAATTTATGCATTTTTACACGTTTATGGCAGTAAATCGTTGATAAAAACAAGTTACCTTTGGATGTGAAGAGGGTGCCATATACAGCTCATTAATAAAACAACGCAACGCTGAAAAGATGTTTACCAATTTTCAAAATGCACTGCATTGCCACAAGTATTTGCCCACATGACCTGTGTGACATCCCATTCTTAAATCACAAAGTTTAACCTTTAATGGCTCCAACTCTGGGAAGGATTTCCATCTGTGTTAATAGGAATACAAGAGGAATACAAATCCTCCAAAAGTGTACTTGTGAGGTCAGACATTGCTGTTGGACAAGAAGGCCAACATCAGTGGGTGACATCAAAATATGCCAGCCCATACTCTTATATTTTGAAGAAAATTTAATGGTGGCATGCAGTCATGGTACAACAGTGGTACAATTCTCTCCTGAAGTGTTCCAAACCCCCGAGAGCAAATTCCATGTCAATATTAATCAAAGCTGGAGTCAAATTGGAAAGGTTTGTAAAAATCACAAATTACCACAAAAAACCCCCCCTCAGTTTCCAGTTTTATTGTATAGTAGCATCCCCCTCCCTCATCTTTTACTGTATATTCTCAGTAAAAGATGTATGAGGGCCAAAAAAGTGGGGGAAAAAAAAAAAAAAACACTTAATGTTTCTCTTGCATATGACAGAAGCAGCTCCAGACCCTCTTTTCAGCAAATCACTGTTCAGAAACAAACATCTGTAACAAGTCACAGTCGTGTGTGCACGTCTGTCAATAAGACAAACAGCCCACAACAGGCTAGCAATCAACAAAGGTAACCAAGCTGAGAAGAATTTCTCAACGAGACTTTAAAAAAGAAATGCCAGTTTCAAAATGGAAAGTGCTAACACACTTGTAGTTTCTCATTGTTGTGGCATGTATCTTAGCATCAAAATCAGAACTGTTCATGTTTTATGGATCTTCAGCCTAATGGATATTCTAAAAATACACAAAGAGCACCACTTTTTGTTCTTAATCAAAATGAAACTGATATATATTTTTTTATAATTACTGTTATATTATCTTGCAGGTTACTTTTGAATAAGCAACAACACGTCTTTCCATTATTTCTGTAGAATTTTAAAAGCCAATTATTGTAAATGAGAAAATCATAAAGTAGACCTCAACCCTCCATAAATTCCCCATATTTGTCCAAGCTGAGAACAATTAGGGTGAATTCCAAGTCAAAGAGATTGATGTGGCTAATTGACTAGATGATAATTGTAAGGCTGGTGGTTTGGGTAGTTTATGAAGAAGAAGAATTGTTGTGGTACTAACTACCATGTGAACAGAAGGCTAACTAAGCATTTCATGTGCAAGTAATCTCTCTTTGGACTTTGTGTAAACGTATCCAAGACCAGAGAGGACGTAAAGATTTTCTTTCTGTGCAAGTGAAAACTGGCTGGACTATTTATTTTACTTTTGATTCCCGAGAGGCTCGCTGCTCAATTTTTTAAAGCAGTGCACTTTTAGGACTCCCTATGTATTTTTTTTTTTTTTGTGAGAGGGGGTGAGAGAGAGAGAGAGGGAGGGAGAGAGAGAGAGAGAGAGAGAGAGAAAATACTTTCCCTGTGTTGTCGGGTTTAAACGGTCAATCATAAAATTTTTATTTAAGAAACTCTAAATAAAATATACAATCTAGCCCAGATTAAACTAAATGATTTGCCCATTTCATGCTATCTGATAACTGACAACATGTTTGTTTGTTTTCTTACTTGCGTGGGGGGAGCTGGTCACTTAGAGACTGCTGGGTGGCCCTGAGGTAGCTCTGACGGCGAGCAGCACTTTTGGGCGAGGGTTTAGGGCTTCCCTCGGAGTCGTCACTGTCTTCCATGTCTCCCATTGCCTTCACATAGCTACCGCTGCGCATCCGCCGACATGGAATCTCATTGAAACCTGGACTGCGACCTAATGAGCTGCTCCAATCCCCCTACAGGGATCATTACAGGGAATAAAACAAGTCCCGAGTTAGTTTTTGGAACTATGTGATTCACATATTCACTTTTTGAGACATTACACGTACTTAGTAGAGCCTTAAAAAGGTGATAAATATTAGCATAAAGTGCTTAAGTATTTACACCCATCAAACCTTTTCTCAATTTTTTTTCTTTTTACAACAATTGTGGTGTATTTTTATGGGATTTTCTTGTGTTAGAACAACGTTAGCATAATTGTGCTAACAATAATACTCTGTATTACAGAATACAGAGTAATTCTTTAAAAGAAAATTCACAATGAAACGTATGAGAGGTATGGACCATTCAGTATCCCTTAGTCTGTGTATCAATGATCATTAGTCTATCACATAAAATCCCAATAAAATACATGAAAATTTGTAGTTGAAAAGTCACAAAATGTGAAAAAAAAAAACAAGTCAAGAGTTTAAATATCTTTATGTGAAATTGCATACTCACCCTGCGTCCAACCTGCAGATAGTTACAAGTTAACTCCTGTTGGCAGGACTTGGACTTGAGCATTGACCTGTCCAGAGTAGTTGAGCCCTTCTGAAGTACCTGTCTCGGTTGGCCCATTGTCAATGTGGACCAAGACCCTCCTTTCACATACTCGGTATCATTCATCAGCATGCCTACTGGTCCACTTATTCCACCACCTCCTATATCCCCTGGACCAGGAAGTGCTGGATACTTCATGTCATTGCTGCTTTTAGAGGAACTGATTGTGTTGTAGCCACTGTGGATGTATTTACTCTGACCACTATGGCTTTCATGGCCACTCGGACGCCCCAGGGTCATCATGGTCATAGTATTATGGTAGCTGCTCAAATCACTACTGTCCAAATCATCTGAGCTCCAGTAACCCGACATGTTGGATCTTGGCCGTCTCTTAGCGGTTGCCTCGGACTTCGTAATACGATCCTTACTTTTGGATCTGCGAGTATGCTTCCCTCCGTCCTCGGTGCCAGAAGAAGTGCCTCCACCACTGCCAGTAGATCTCCCGTTCACGTTCCCCTTCATGTTGTGGCTCTCTAGCGACTGGGACTTTGCAAACAGTTTTTGCACCGAGTGCAGCATGTAACGAATGCGGCCGGGACTGTCTGTCCGTTGCTTGGCAGCAACAGCAGCGGACGTTCGATGAAACTGTAAAGTGCTGAATCCGTCGCGACCTCCTGGTAGCTGCTTCTCAAAATCCAACAGACTGGGCGGAGTTTGATTCTTGGTCATATGGTGTGATATTGTTGCAGAGCCACTTGTAATCATAGGCGTTCTCCCACTCAACCCTGACATGGCCATACCTGATGCCATGCCCATCGACAGAGATGTCCCCATGGTGCCTGTGCCTATCCCTCCGATACTGTCCCCAGGAGGAGAAAAATCGGACTGGTCGTAGGAGTTGTAGTGGATACTGGGGAAAGTGCTGCTATTGGAAAGCTGATTGTTGAGGGGCAGCATGCAGTCTGCTGGAAGGGAGCCTGGATTGGCAGAAGGGTAAAGGTGGGGATCCATGGTGCCATAGTGGTCCATTGTGGGGCTGAGCAGATAAGGGCTGCGTGGCAATGTGCTCGTCTTCTGATGGTAGAGTGCCTCTGGATGATTAAGAGAGGGATCACAAGAATCAGACAGATGTCTGTTACGGTTGGTCCCCAACCCCTTCATGACGGCAAGGAGGCCCCGACCCTCTAGAAGACCTCCAAGCCAAGTGAGGAGAAGAGATGTTCAAGGTGTTTCCTACAACAGACAAACAAGGAAGAAGAGTCGGTTACACACGCACAAAAACATCACCATACACGCACGTAAAATCACACGCACAGACACACACACAACCGTGTCTACTTACCACCTAAACCAGACTATGCAACACAAACACAGGCAAATGATCAAGTTTTTACAGCCTCCCACAGCAAACCCTTGCACTAATATGCTGTAAATATATGAAAAAAACATGTGGAACAAGGACAGGCTGTAACCAGTGGGTCACTGAATATATTACTGCTAAGAGAACAATTGCTGACAGACACTCCTCCGTATTTATGCAGACCGTAGCAGCAGCCAGAGAACAAATGCCTTCTTTTCTCCAGCTAATCACATTCAGAAATATAAGAAATATGAGTGGAACGCTTATTGTTTCACAACACTTCCATTCCTACAAACATGTTAGATGACAACAGTGTCAGCGACGTGGGCTCAAATATCACACAAACAAAAAAAACGAGATGTTTTATAAAATTATTTGATAGCTTAAAATTATTCCTACTCAGTTTGTGCCACGTATGTTTCCCCAGTTATTTCGTTTTCTTCTACATATCCGATCCCTGGCATAGTGACCAATCTCCTGTCATATCTTTGCATAGTGAGCCAAGGATGATGAGCAGACCGAATGGTGAAACCAGCAAAGAGGATTTGACCAGTAGGTGGTAGATAGCAGGCATTGGCAGGTAATTCTCCCATACTTCCTGGTCAAGCTGTGCCAGTGTCCTGCCTGGTGTGGCAGCAAGGACAGGACTTCCTGTCATGCACCATGACACACGGTGGTCAAAGGTCATCAGCTTAAAGCAGAGGGTATTTGATCAAATCGGTCCCGTTTATTTCCCAATGTAATATAAGTCACATATAGATGTGATTGCGTACAGTCTCGTTCAGTCTTATTTATGATGAAAACACCTAATGCTATCCACACCAACATGATTTATTTATGTGAGATTATGATGAGCTACAAAAGAAGAAGTTACTGTTTTTGAGAGAATGGGCTTCATCAGTGAGGTGAACCATCACTGCAAAGCATTTAGCTCCATGTTGTGACCAGGAGACTTTCACTACAAACTCACAGCTTAAACTCACCACTATTTCAAAAATCTTCTTTTTTTCTTTTAGAAAATCCTTTACATTTATCTTATTGATCACATGTGTAGCAAACTTATTTAAATTTATTTATTTCAATCTTGTTTTAGTCAATACAAACTATATCTTAGTGTGACTGAATTTACTATAAATGTTTTCTGAAAGCACCAAATAGTCTGCAATTCCAACTGGAATTTAAGCCACTATTATGTTCTTAATTGCAATGACTTTTAAAGCATTGTGAGACTGATGCACCACTTTAGGTTTTGAATTGCATGTGCAGCCAAGTGGAGAGTTGGTACCCCGTGTGTCGAGTTTGTTGCTGAAAATAGGGAGGCGTGGAGCACATGCTTTGTTGGTGACTGCACAGCACCTTATCCCAACACAGATTCTCAGATTATTTTCTGCATTTTGAATTGGTTGGAGGGAAGCAGAAGGAGTGAAACGAAAACAAATACAGGACATTTAAAATTGTAATTGGGTCACAAACCAATTTTAGGTGCCTACAGTTCAGAGAAACTAACAAAACATTTTGTGAATCGCCAGGCATGTCAAAAAAAAAAAAAGTACACTCAGCTATCTTTTACACCCTTCTTCCAAGTTTAAGTAGTGTGTTTGCAGGAATAAAATCTCCTCATGAAATTCAGTCTTTCATGTCTCCATTATTAGCATGCCTCAGGCACAGACTCATTTAGCGTCATTAACGCCGCCTTTCTGAATGCCCTCTCTGCTGATAGGGTCAAATCCTCTAAATCCTTTTACACAACATTAACTAACTGCCTCACATCCCATCATGACATGCCACTCAGCTAAGCTTGGCATGGCCTCCTCGACGTGTCAACAACCCCGACTTTAAATGACAGCGATAGCTTTGGTGAGGGGAGGCTCGTCAAACTAGAGGAGCCGACTGCCACTTGGAAGATGTTTTGATCTTTCCATCTTTTCTCGTTGGCGGTAGATTGCGTTCGAAAATAGAGAGAGCAGGGTGAGATAGTTGTGTAAAAGGTATTGAGAGATCATTTTAACAGCATTCAATATTAAACACAAGTTATTGTGAATGTTAATTTCCTAAATATTCTCTATGTGTTAACTCAAACACCAGCATTGTAGGAAGGCAGTTTTAGAGCCAATTAGGCGGGAGTGCCAATTTAAAGGTTCTTAAAGTTACAGTAATTGGATTTTCTCAAGCACAAGACCATGGTCCTTAATCCACTCACTTTTTTTTTGTTATCGAACACAACCAGGGGGGAAACAAAGCTGGGAGTATATCTTCAATTAAGTGAGAATGATAATGCTAGTGTTTTCTGAAAGGACCAGTAGAAGATACAGAGTGGTTAACCAAAGCAATTAAGCACAACTTGGAAAAAAAAAACACATAACCTGCAGTTCTTTAATACAGTTTGTGATGTATCCCTGATATGCATTCTGATAACATCTTACTCAGGGCAGCTCATATAGTGTCAAGCTTATACAGTGCCTTGCAAAAAATATTCAGTATCACGTCACAACCACAAGGGTTTTACTGTAACTGATAAGAACAATACAAAGCAGTCTAGACTTGGAAGTGAAATGATAAATGGTTTTCAATACTCGTCTTCACAAATGAAACCAAAATGTCTAACTTGCTTTTACATTCAGCCGCCTCTACTGATACGGCAAAGATAAATCCAGCACAATCCATCATCCAAAAACAGTCAAGAGTAGGGCACAATAAAAATAATACAAACTTACCAAGCTATAGCTGTCCACCTAAAGTGGGAGACGCTGATCCTCGAGGGCCGGACTAGAAAACATCTGATGTAAAAGGAAAGCTAGCATAACTAACCTTGAACATGCAACCCGTATCATTAAACATGATGGAGGCAGTAGCTGTTCACAGAAACTCCCCGTCTAATCAGACTGAGCTTCAGCTATTTTGCAAAGAAGAATGATGATTTTATATATATATATATATATATATATATATATATATATATATATATATATA